TGAACAAAGTGTGGCAGTGCACACACACTCACGGTTCTCTTTCGATCGAATTTCCTTGTGGTGACGTGGGTAAACTGATCACTCTGTGCTTCATTGTTTCATTACAGTAAGTAGCTTGTCTAGTTGGGCTGAAAACATGTGACCACATAATTAGCCTACTTGTTTTTCAGCTAGGCGTAGTTAGTTCCTGCCGAGTCTGAAATGATTCAGCTTTTTTTTTCTAACAAACTACAAATTACTTGTTATGACCAATTGAACCTGTATGGGTTTTCACTCCCAGATTCACTTTTTACATTTGAGTCTCAACAACATACTACTATGTAAGCTGCAGCTTTGGTGGTAGAAACAGTCCCTAAACACAGACACAGACATGATTTCTTATCCTTGGTGGTTAAGGAAGCGGATTTGGGTCCGGAAGGTTTGAGTCCCTCGCTGTGTTTCCAGATGGAATTGAATTGAAATCTTTTGACCATTTTCTCGTTATTTTATTGCATTAAAAATGTTATTTATTCTAAAAATAAAAAAACGAATTTAGCCGTTTCACGTTTAGTTCAGGTCACAAGGGATTTTAGATGCCACTGAGGACCAAAAAAAAAAAAGTTTTTTTTGTGCTAGTTTCATGTGACACAGTGTTCAATGTGTGTGTATAAAAAATTAAATGATACGTCTGACAATAAAACAAATATAAAGTGCATAAAAGTAACACATGACATGAGGTTATACAGACTTATAAAATAAGTCTGTCCTTAACACATGAATGCAGCTGGGGTTTTTCCCTTTAAAAGCCAAAGGCTCAGTCATGGGTTACTTCCTGCGTTTGAAGAATTTCTGAGACGACACAAATCTTATGAAAAGTCTTATTCTTTTGTATTGATAATCAATCAATTGCAAACAATATGTTTTTGTGTGCCTTGGTGCTCAATGATCCTGGGCCAGTACCTGCCATGTGACATGTAGCTCAGACCAAAGAGTCACATGGTGTAGGTTGAACCAAACTAATCACCATGAATCTATACTTAGGGGCAATTTGTGTTTTTCTCTCAAAGGTTTCACCTCTTCAAGAACTCGCTATGGTTCCTTGGACGGCAGCTATGAACACGACAACCACGCTCACAGTAACGGCAGGTTGTCTTCGACCACAGCGGGACTTTGGGCCTCAGCTGACACGAGAGAGGAGGGCCTTCGCAGGAAGCTGAAGTACTTCTTTATGAGTCCTTGTGATAAATATCATGCCAAGGGTCGCAAGCCTTTCAAGCTGGGGCTGCAGCTGCTCAAGATCATCATCGTCACAGCTCAGGTATAATCCATGTGTATGTTTGTTGTCGAAAAGTCATTCGTTTTTTCTAAATCTTACAACACTCAGGAAATAAACATTCAACCCAAAACAAACAAGTTGGAGCAGAGACCCTCTAGTGGTTTGATATGATAAACTGTCACGCTTAAAGCAGACCCTCATCTACCACGCCCTAACCTTTCCACTGCTTGTCTTTTTGCTGCAGTTAGTCCTATTCGGCCTCAGCAACCAAGTAGTGGTGACCTTCAAGGAGGAGAACACAATGACCTTCAAGCACCTCTTCCTCAAAAACTATGACGAGTCCTCGGACGACTCTTTTGCTGTTTACACACAAGAGAGCGTCTATGAATACATGCTTTACGCTGTGGACCAGGTAAGACGTGAGGGCCATTCACACATGGAAACACATTTGCTGTTCATACTGAAGTGACATCACATCGTTCTCACCCTTTAGTACCTGGCCTTACCAGAGACCACGGTGGGACGGTACGCGTATGTTTATAACGTTGGTGTGAATGGTACTGCGCTGTCCCTGTGCCAACAGTACTACAAGAAGGGACGGATAGACCCAGCAAATGACACGTTCAATATAGACCCCCAAGTAATCACAGGTATGTGAACTAAATAGTAATAACACAAAGCTGCTGAACACCCAGGTCGACAGATTTTACCTGTCTGTCTGTCTGTTGAAAACACTGTCTACTCTCAACAAAACTTAAAATTTATACCGTTTTCATGGAGTATCGAGTCACTGGACCAGCATATTTTAAAGTACACGTATACAAGTGCCTGAATGAAGTATCGGTCCATCCCTACATTTTTGCTATTTAAAGTGGCTAACAATTAAATGGTAATTGGTTATCAACCTAATTTCTTTGTCAAAAAATATAAGCATCTGATTTAAGGAACACCATTTCACTCATACTGTAAATGTTGTTGCACAAGTGTGTAGTGTCCGACTTCCTCATATAGTCAACTTACATGTTAAAAAGAAAGCAAAAGCAACATTATAAAAACATTTACGTTATTTTGTTCTTTGCTCATTTAATGATACTGACCTGATTTTTAAACTTCTTTGTGCTGTGCACAACACATGCCAGAGCCAGTGAGAACCTTTCCCACTTATTTTTCATGAATGAAAAAGACAGCTTGATGTTCTCTCTGGTTACAGACTGCGTAGGTGTGAATCCTCTCTCAGTTCCTCGATCTCCACTCAGCGACAGCTACAAGAATTTTACCCTCAAGTTCCACAAGTAAGGCCTCATTTTTTGCATGGTTTCAGCGACTTCTTGTTTGTTTGTGTTATCTTGACATTCATGAAATTCAACATGTTGCTTATCTCTGCAGCTCATACACATACAGATTAACCATGTGCTAAAGACACAGCTACGCTAACTAGAAAACAAAACAGGTGTTTGTTTGTTTTTTTTTTCAAATGTTGGAGTGTATTAATATGTATGAGTGGCTCTTTACAGAGTAAATAAAAATAATTAAGTCCAATCTAGTGCCATTTTATATATAAAGCACAAAAAAACTGTTGAAAACAATTGAAACACAAGAGTTGAAACATAGTTTTGTACACTACAATAAAACACAGATGCAAATACAAAGGACTCCAACGACTACAATAAGTAGTTCAGTGTTGGAATGATAATAAATATAAACGTTACAGTGCAACCATTCATACTGTGTTTAAGGTAATAGAAACAAACAGAGACATCATCTGAGGCAGGTTGTTCCAGAGTCGAGCTGATCAGCTGATCTGAAGTAACTCTGTATAATAGAGTTGAAATCAATCCTGTAGCGGAAATGGAGCAAATTAAGGAAGGACAAATCAGGGGTAATAATATATTCTCACCTTCGATTTCCTGTTAACAAACGGGTAAATTATAAGTAAGTTAAATGAGAGCATTGCACAGAACGTTGCTGTAATCTAGTACAGTAATGAAAGAAGGAATATTATTTTCCATTAATTTGACTTGAGTTCATTTAAAACAAGTTTAAAGTCTGAGTCAGTGTGCTCTGATCACTTCTGTGTAAATTTTTAATACAGGATAGAAGACAAAAGTCATGCAATATGAATGTGACTAACATTACTTCTTTTTTTTAAGGCTTATTAATGTCACCATAGAGTTCCAGCTGAAGGCAATCAACATACAGACCATCATCAACAACGAGATCCCAGATTGCTACACTTTTTATATAACAGTAGGTGTAAAAAACAGTATACTGTAAAGATGTAAGAGTTGATTTAAGGCCATTTTCCTGCCATCCCACTCCTCTCTGTATATTCACATCAACTCAATACTGCCATCCCACTCCTCTCTGTATATTCGCATCAACTCACTTGGTAGAATGTCTACTCTTTATATTGAAGTTAGTTGTTCATTTTAACATGAATCCAGATTTTTTTTCATCTTCTTAAATGATAGAACTTACTTTTTGTTTTTGAATTGTGTACCATATGGCTTTAAAGAGCTTGGCCCCACCCTCTTCTCCCCCTTCAGGTGGTTCTGGACAACAAGGCCCACAGCGGCAAAGTCAAGATCTGGTTGGAGAACCGGGCTGTGATAAAGGAGTGCAAAGACCCGAGTATTTCTGGACATGGTAAAGCTGCAGATATATGAGAGCAGCACGTACAATAAAAATTCACGACAAATCCTAAGAATCGATGATCAGTTGTATGGAACAGTTGTTGAGATTTCTTTTTTTTTTATCAAACCCACAGCTGAAAACCACTCCCGTGCTGCTTTTGACGCCATCGTGGCTCTGGTCTGCACGGTGTCTCTGTTGCTCTGTGGACGCTCCATACTACGAGGCATCATCCTCGAGCAGGTACAGTGTATGTTGTTTCACAGTCACAGTTACATATGTGACCAAACTATTAACTAAACTTTTTTTTTGTTTCCAGGAGTTTGTGCAATATTTTAAGGAAACTCTGGATCGTAAAGTCTGCTGGTCAGACCGCATGGAGTTCATTAATGGCTGGTACATCCTTCTCGTCATCAGTGATATCCTGACCATCACAGGGACCATCATCAAAGTCGGCATTGAATCTAAGGTGGGTCCAGGTGCAGCTCTCAGTGACATAAAAATTTTTTTTTTTTTCCAGTACTTTGTAACATGAGGTTAAGGTCAATGTGTGAACTAGTCTCCAATTTAAACAGTAAAAACTGTTGTAACAATGCTGATCAGTATCTGTGGAATTATTATTATTATTATTATGTTTCCCCTGTTGTAACGATGCTGATCAGTATCTGTTCTCCTGACAGAACATGTCCTCATACGACGTCTGTGGCATCCTGTTAGGGACCTCCACTCTCCTGGTGTGGGTGGGAGTCATTCGCTACCTCACATTCTTCCAGAAATACAACGTAAGTCACGGACACACTGTTGTGCACCACATCAATACTGTTACTGTTTGTAACAGTCAAACTTACAGAAGCAGAGTGGTAGGAAGTGAAAAACTGAGGAACTCGCATTCAAATATCAAGTGAAACTTAATGAGGAAATACTGTATACTCTTCAACAATGGTAGCTTTTTAGCAATGTTGGTGTATTTTTCCATTAAGGGCGTCAGTGAAATGCTGTAGTCTCTCTCTAATGCCCTGGTGTATTCCGTAGATTCTTATCATTACTCTCCGGGCGGCGTTCCCCAACGTGATCCGCTTCTGCCTCTGTGTTGCCGTCATCTATCTGGGATACTGCTTCTGCGGCTGGATTGTGCTCGGTCCGTACCACGTCAAGGTGAGAGACGCTGAAACTCGTTTTTCACAAGGAGCTAAACTTTAGAGCAGATGATCTTTCATCTGTGAGATTACACGCTACATTTTCAATTTCGGACCCCACTCGTCTGCATGTGCTGTGCAGTTATTCCATGGAAACTTCCTGGTCACCGTCCTCGTATCTGATCTCACAGTATTTAAAAAACTGTAAAGGATATCCAAAGAGTGTTATAGTATGAATTGTGAATAATGTTTCAGTGGTTAAGGTGAAGAGCACTGTGAGTTTTGTACTTAAACTGAAAAAGGTGTTGAACCAGGTGGCTATAAAAAGGTGTTGAGCTATAAAAAAAAAACCTCATGTTATTGATGAATTGAGCCCAGCTCTGCGCGTTGATACACTACAGAATTTTTATTATTTACAATATTTAAAATGGATAGACTACCGTACTTTTTTTTACTCTTTTCTATTTTTCTTATCCCACACCTTGTCGATCTGCTGTTTTCTCTTTTCTCAGTTCCGTTCCCTGTCCATGGTGTCAGAATGTCTGTTCTCCCTCATTAACGGAGACGACATGTTTGTGACGTTTGCGGGGATGCAGGAGAGCGGCACCCTGGTGTGGCTGTTCAGCCAGGTCTACCTGTACACCTTCATCTCACTCTTCATCTACATGGTGCTGTCACTGTTTATTGCTCTCATCACAGGAGCCTATGAGACTATAAAGGTAAGGGATAATGAATGGAAATAACTTATCTAGACCTAAGGGTTCATTTTTGGACTGGAGCCAGAACTGCATTAGTTACAAAACAATTTCTATTTGTCATTTGTTTCCACAGCATCAAACCCAAGAACCCATCCATATCACAGACCTACACGCATTTGTAGCAGAGTGTACAGATGCACCGAATTCTGGGAAGTTCAGGGGTTTAGAGACGTCGCCGTGCTCCTTCTTCTGCTGCTGCGACAGGTGAGGGGGTGAACACGTTTTTAAAATCAAAAATTGTGCAAAATCTGTCTGTAGTCTGTATGTCATTATGATTTATAATGTTGTTTTTGCTGCCCAGCCTGCAGTAGTTGTATTTGAAATAGGTTTAAACATGGATCTGAATTTCAGTGCATTTTATGTCTTGTCATAAATTATTTTCTACAATTCAACTCTGGACATGTTTCAAGTACATTTAAAGAGAGAAACAACATTTTTTCATGTTCAATTAACAATGATTTATTCATTCCCCTCAGGACCACAACATACGACGACGGTCTGCTGGTGAACTGAAGTGAGTTTGACCCGGGACAACTCTCTAGTCCCCTCTGTTGGTCACACAGCTACATTGCATACTGTCCTGGTGCCTTTGTACCGAGAAACTGTCTGCCTCAATCACTCAGCACTCATGGAGAGGAGGCTGACCTCTCAGCTGGTCCAGTACAAGGAGCGTGGAACAACAGGCTTGTTATGGAGCCATTCATCTTCTGTCCTCGTTTTCCACTGATATGAAACTGTGAGGTGGCGCAGCACGCAACGTGATCTCTGTGTTCAAAAGACAACTTTGCCGTATCATGAAAAAAATAATGTAAAGGTTTTTTTTGTGTTTTTTTTTTTAAAGCAAACCAGTGTTGTTTTATATATATATTTAACGAGGCACAAGACTGAACCAGGCTGTAGTAGAGATACAGTATAAGCACAAATACTGCAGTGGCAACTGCTGATGTGCATACTGTAGGTGGTGCTGGTTGAACTTTTATAGTATTTCAATTTTTTTTCAGTGCTGTGATATTATAAATGTGCATATCAAAGAAATTACAGTCAGCAGTTACTAATTACACCAGCCTTTTACTGCAGAAACAAGGAGAAAGGTGGAACTATTTTGCTTTTTAACGGAATCCCTATTGAGGTTTTTGCTGTTAAAAAACTGAATACAGAGTTTCAGAAAACCCCAGCTACGCCGTATAAGGTTTACATCACTTGAAAAAAGGCGGCTCTTTGTTGTCTTGCTGTGCTCAACTGCTGTTTCAGATTATGTCACATTAATTTCAGTGATTGATCCAATGGGAAGCACTCACCCGCTCACTAATGAAGCACTTGGTTTTGTCTGCAGTCAACGGCAGCAAGAACAAAGTTCAATGTTCCCGGTGGTCTACTGGCATGTACTGTGTGGTATCGTGATGATACCAAAATTTGAAGGTTAGATCTGCGTTGTTTAAAAAGTAACTAAGCTGAAGAAAAGATTTCCTTAAAATAGACGACGATTTCATGGACATAACAAGAAGGTTTGATATGGGCTACAGTGGTGCATCTCTGGGTTTAATATCACCTAGTCCCCAAGTCCCAGGTTGGGTTGGGTCAGGAAGGGCATCTGGTATGAAAAGATGTGGCAAACCCCGATAAAAGGGCAAATGATTTTAAACAGGAACATTTGTATGTGTCTCTGCAACAATGGCGTATAATAGCCATGCTGTTTTTACTCTTCACAGCCCTCTGTTGTCAACAACAAGTCTATGTTTGGATTACTTTCATATTTACTGCCGTAGATGCACAAACATTTCGGGAGTCTCATAATCTGAGCTCAAGAAAAAGAAATATATAAATTTTTCTTATTGAGAAGAGATCTGTTTTGAGCTGTAAAAGTGTAATTGTGATGTTAATGAGTTTGAAAATATGTGCCAAATGTACCATGGCCTTAAATTATTTCTGACGTTACATGCATGAGTACATTTTTCAGTGTACTGTGAATTTCGAGGTTTCACAGTCATGTTTTTATACAAATAATCTGTGTTTCTATCTGATTAATACAAACCTCTGTGTCTTACTGTACATGCTGCTAGTTTAGTTCATGTTTCCCCAAAAACATCGTAGCCATGAAAGTTGGCTCTCAATCCAAATGCAATTACCTAAAACTGTCAGAAGAGGGAGCGTGTAACTCATACGTCAAAAGATTGAACTAACCTTAACACTGTGTTTAAAAGAAATTACATTAAAACATACGAAAAGAAGGCACATTGTGATTTGAATTGACTAGAAATAAAAGGCACATTTTTACACGTTGGTTATGTTCTGCTTGTGTTAATGCGCTGCAGCTTGAAGCTGTCACAGAAGGGAAATCATAATTCTTTTTTTTTTCATCTTCTGACCCTCATCAGCGGACCATTAGGATGAGGTCATTTCCTGCTTATTGAGGTCTGTGTACATGCTTGACAGCTGAGGTAGCACATCCTTGTTTTCCACAACGCCAAGCATTGAGAGAGAGAGAGAGAGAGAGAGAGAGTTCAGAGTTTCGCTTGACATCAACAAGTTAAAACATAACTCAAGTAAGGAAGTAAGAACTCAGGGCTAGCTTGTTCTATAGCGTCTGTTAAACACCAGACTTTGACTGTAAAGAGAAAAAAAAATCCCCCTCAAATTCTCTCCTCTTTCTCTCCCCGGTCATTAGGGTTTGGTGTGATGTGTGTTTGTTTGTGTAAGGGGGCCGTGCAGAGTGTGTTTTGTTTTTCCACTCACAGAGCATGCAGCTGATTCCACTGTGTGATGTTTGGGCAGATGGGTGTTGAGGCACGGCTAAAGAAACACATTGCAAAGAAGCCAAGTTTTGGGTGTGTTATAACTGGCGCTGTACTATATGAGCAGTCCATCCTAATTCTAGTTTCCCCAGAGCCACGCTCTCAGCCACGCCCTCGTGTAACAACATTACAGAGCAATCTGAGATGGATGGGCAGGATGTGAGAGGATTTAGCAGCTTTCCCAGCTCTTTGATATGATGATGGATGCCATTAGTGCTGAGTTTGGACAAATAAATCACTCAGACTGAAATGGTTCACTTACACATCTTTGCATTGGAGTTTGCAGAAAAAAGGTAGAAAAATAATCATTTAAGCTTCAGAGAGCCTTGAAATAGTAGTGAAAGAAGGACGTTTATTTTGTTTTTTTGTTAGGACATAAAACCAGAGTGGTGCAGTGATAAAACTCCAATAGCACCTGGTATCCTGGTATAAAAACTCAAGTCACTATGCCTACTTCTAGCTCTGGTCCAACCCCTGGTTCAGGGACAAACCTAAATAAGCACTTGCTTCTTTATTGGTGTTAAGCTGTTAAATTTAAATTTAACCATCTGTAAACTATTCAGTTTTTTTTCTCCCTCGCTCCAGAGGAAGGGACCATATTGGATTAAAAAGGCTGAGAGTCTGCCAGACAGAGAGAACAGAAATGGGAGAAAGGCAGCGCAAAGATGTGAATCACAAAAACTCTCACTCTTTAATAAGCCACTGAATGTGTGTGTGAGCTGACAGTGCCCCCACACACTCGGTCCTCAGGGCCTTCTCCTTTATACGTCCCTATTCTTCCTCTGTTCTTCTTTATTCAAGAAAACAACAGCCGACGTCGGGCGTCTTAACCCATTCATTCTCCCTCTCTCTTTGTATGTGTTTTTCCCTTTTCATTGATTTTTCTTACGCAGCTGCAGCTCCACATTCAGGAATAAGTGCATTCATCTCACAGTGACCACGTCTGTACCATAGGATGGTGGACACTGTACATGATGATGAAATCAGCAGTGTAAAATTTCCCCTCAGAATATGTCCTCAACTATCAAAATGCATGGGAAAACTGGGAACGTCTGAGTACAGAGTGTGTGTTGTTGTCTGAGGCACTCTTTTCACATTTTTTTTCACATAGTTCCAAAGTTTTCATGGCTGGAGACCAAGTACAAATTCTTGGGTGTCAGTTTGATTCCTCAAACACCAGCTGTGTACGACAGCCTTCCATGCAATCAAGCTGTGAACTGTTTGACTTACCCTGCCTGCGTGATTTGTGTGAAATGGCAGCTTGGCATTTGGCAACTACAAAATAGAATGTTCAAAAAATATATTTACTTTTTAACATATTTTGGTTTGATTGTATCTGGATCTTCAACCCTTAAAAACAACAGTTTTAAAAAGCTCTGTCTAAACTGAAACACGTTTTAAACAATCGTCATGGAGTAAAATAAAAGGAGGAATTGATGAAAACAATACCTGCAGAAGTCATTGAACATAAAGTATAGTGAGTTATTTGTGACAATTTAAATATTCAGCTGAAATAGATATATGTTTACATTTAAAATAGATTTAACAAAGTTGACTCTTATTTAACTAATATTATTATGTGTATATTTCTGTATTCCTCGCTGTTTTCGCTGTATAATAACAATGACGACGATTTTGATTCTGACCCCCAGATTTTGGCAGCCACGCTAGCGTGACTCGGACGTGACGTCACATGTGCTTTGCATAATCACCGCTCGGCTCCTGGTGATTGGACCGATGTCGAACTTTAATCTGCATTCTCCCCTTTCCTCCCTCCTTTCCACTAAGACTCCTCAGTCACTCCCACAGCCCGGCTCCATCCTTTATGAAGGGGTGTAGCCCGTCGCCGCCTGCCGCTGCTCAAACGTGGGGAGAAGGACGTGAACACAGACGTCGACCGTCTCTCCCGCCGCTGCTGCTGCTGTTGTGTTTCTCCAGCTCCATTGTTAACTTCAGGGACTCCTTCAGTTCAGTGTAGCTCCCCTGCTGCAGCCCAAAAGAGAGAGTCTTCGGGAAAAGGTACCTACTCTGAACACACTCCTCTGGTAACAGCTGATACCAGTTTCGGATAAAATATTCAAATTCTCCCTGATGAATATTTTAACCAGCACGCGTCCTGCAATATCCGGTTTATTTGCGATCACCATTTCTTGTTAGCTTCTTCTTCTCGTGCATAATGTTTGGCCGCCTTTTTGATGCGTAGTGACCAGGTTGTGTGTGGCTTAATGTGATGATGGAATAGCACGACTCGGCACTGTTGGGCGGTGGTTTCAGCGCGGGTTTCTCTCAGACAGACAATAATTTGGATGCACACTGTCCCCAGCAGCCCGGTGCCCTGGTGTGAGCAGTGTCAGGGTCGGTTTAAAGCCTTGCCTGGCTTCATGTCGTTTCTCTCGGTCAGCTGCGCCGGCGTACACCGCTATTGTTTGGTTAGTCGGAGCCTGGCCTTCTGCTCCACCACCGGCATGGACTCAGCGTTTGTTCCTCCACACATATGGTCTGGTTAGGGCTTGAGCAAACAGACAGAAACTGGTTTGGCAACGGTTGTTAAACTAAGGTCTGGGTACAAGGTGGGGTCTGACAGGTTCCCAGACCAGTATCGTTCAAGACTTAAAACCAGTTACTGTACCTCAGAATTGAATTGTGATATAATGGACCAAAAACTTCAATGGCTGGGGAGTGTGTTCTAGAGATGGAGTGTATATTAGTGCTGGACAGTGACTACAATTTTAATTGTGGTTTAAGGCTAAAAAATACATGATACATGGCTATTAATTGCATTATGTGCAAAAGTCAATATTGAATTTTAATGTCTTGTTCAATTGGCAAAATAAACAAAAGTGCAAAAGATTTAGTTTGCAAACACTAATATTTCAATTTTAAGAGTTAATTATTACTTGTAATCAATACATTATTTTTTGTCAAATTTGATATAAAACCAAAGCATTTTTGTCACAGCCAGACATGAATGCTTTTATTAGTTTGTTTTGGAAAAAATTCACTTCAAAAACACTCTTTCAAAAACACTCTACTGGGGTAAATATACAGCTTTACACCTGCATGAAATATTAACTCACAGCATTCAGTATTCTGGCCTTTTATGAGATGTTGCACGTGATTTGGCATATATGGTATAGCTATGAAGACCTTTGCCCGTTCATCTTGATTCTTACCTTTTGTTCTTTGGCCTCCCAATGCCCTACAGATGGTTTCTGTATCGAAATAGTGTAGACATTTTAGTTTTTTTGTAAAGGGTGTAGCTCTGCTTTCTTACCAGTAGGTAGTGCTGTAAATGTGAGGGAGTATAACATGACTCACTAAAAGATAAATTATTTTAATTCTTTAACATATACAGTCTCAACTTTGCCAAAAATATCTGCTCAATTAAAAAAAACTTGTTATTGATTTGTTAGTGTTTTTTTTTGTG